TTTAACTACGAATTCGAATTAATCGCTAAAATCGGTTTATCGCCCAGCCCTAGCTTCTCATGAAATTCCGACAACAGCGACCCATTTAATGCAAGATCATTCACATCCTGTCTTTTTTGCTAATATTTTCTTTTGTTTTTGCCATATTATTTGTCCTCCGGGCTTCATCTTAAAAAAAAACAAAAAACACACACTGTGGTTTCACAGTAAATCAAAGTTTGTATATTTATGTGTGACAATGGGCCTCATCAAACACAGACTCCTCTCTTACTTTTCCTCTGTGAGTGTTTGGATTCAGACTCAACAAACCCTCTTAACTTGGTAATGGATCCATTTAACATAATGAAAGCCTTCTGGTGTCATTCATAATAATGTCATACAAGACAAGCGTGGAACTTCTGTCAAAAATACTAGTCTAGTAAATTTTGCAGTGGTTCCAAACCTTGTTCCTTCAGGAACCCCTGCCCTATCATTTAGTGACGGCCCCTGCGTAAGGGACATATTTTATGGATATTCCCTATTATATTAAAAACAATATATACATTTGCTTTGCCAATAAAAATCATACAAATCATCTAAAGTATCTCCCAGTTGAACGGGCAGCCACGCTGATAATATTGTAATCAGAATATTCATTTTGCATTTAGTTCTAGTTCATTACGACATCATATTTAAAGCTGCAGTAGGTAACTTTTATAATGGCATTTGCAAGGAGATGACACTCAACTATCAACTATCTTTTTTTAGCTCTGATTGGTTGTTTCTGTTCAGGCCCGGTGAATTGCAAATCCAATTAGAAGCACTACCACGTGTCGGAGGAACCAGATTTTTTTTCACAGATTATCTGTCCCGTGTGCTACTGTCAGGATATAGTCAAAGTTTCAGCAAACACGACAAAAATACTTTTTTTTTTTTTTTAAAGTTACCGACTGCAGCTTTAAACCTTAGATTAAGACAGTATGACGTGGAAGACAAATTAGTTTTTTTCCAATGTGAAGAAATGATCAATGCATCACTCTGTAGTCTAGATTTTATTTGATTATTTTTCAGGCACACGTGTGAGAGGAATATTTGTAACTATTTGAACTGTAATGCCAAAGATTCTAAGATCACTCACTCAGATATGTTTGAGCATGTGTGTTTTCCATTAAGCTAAATGAGTATACTGTGTTTGGTGTGTGTTGTTGCCAAAACAGAACAAAGGGCTATCTCGAATACCATTTTTGGGGCTCTGGAACGTCAGTGGGTATGTGCGTGTGCTGAGCATGACTGTGTGTTTTTTTTAAACTTTTTATTCCAAAACTCATCATGGAATACCTACTCAAAGATTGAATATATGAATAGTTGAATATTCTTGTAGTAGTCCTGTAGCCTAGTAACAATCTAATCAACATATCTGTAGCACGTAAATGCACGGTTTTCAACAGCCGACTATCGATTTCTTGAATACTTGTTACAGTAGTAGTTGTTCCTTCTCACTGAATGAATGAACTTAATACAATGTAACATATTACATTAAGTGAGAGCAAAATAACTATAAATAACAGTGCGCTTTACTGGTTGGCAGTAATGTATTTAAAGTGCATGTTATCTGTAGCTTATGGGCTACAAGTGGAGGTAATTCTCCACTGACATTGCTGCAACCTGGGGACCCCAGAACGCCTCACAAATACCCGAGACACCCAGTTTCATCATGTTCCTTACCTCTCTTTTGTAATCCATAATTTGGTACTTGGTAGTGTTGTCTGGCAGACCCATGGGACTCTTCCAGGACACGTTCACAGTAAACGGGTCCAGCCACTTGTATGTCAGGTCTGTTGGTGGAGGACACCCATCTGTGGGACGAGAGATTAAAAAAGGGCAATTCATTTCACCTTTTCAGAATGAATGATACTGTTAGGCTGGAAGAATCACAAGAGGCTATCATTAGCCTCAGTAAAAATAATAGAAAGTAATGATCCCAATTTCAGTCTTTTTTCTTGTTTCTGAAATGCCCTGTAGAATTAATATTATTAGAAAATATATTATAATATTAGAAAATAGAAAATATTATTATATATAGCCTAACAATTTCTCCAATTGCGCCATTAAAACACAATATTGCATTAACGACGACTGCACAGGTTTCAAAATGACCGGAGGTAAACTTTTAGTTGTAAACAGAAGCCAAAAGATCTGATAAAATAACACTTTTCAAGTACTCACAACTGAATTCACCCATCACAATACAAATGTACATACAAAATACATATTTTGAAAAAAAAAAAATCAAGATAGAATTAACTGTACACTCAATGAGCTTTGGAACGTACACATTTCCTCATATTTGACTTTTTTGGAACGTTTTTCTTAGATTTCTTAGATTGGCTGAAAATGTGGGTGGATTCCTTTGCAAAAATGTTCTTGTCATGTAAGACTGTAACGGTTAGTATGGTTAGTAATATTTCATATGGTTATCAAGAGACAGTAAGAATTCATTTGAATTTTTAAAAAGAAGAAAACTGTTCACGAGACATCCAAATGGATGAAAAGTCGTTTTTTTGGCCACTTTGGGTTAATGTATCTTTCTATGTGTATGAGGACCGTTCTAAATATGGTGTTAGAAGTTTCAGCTAACCTTATTAAGGAAGATGTCTGTGTTTCTATTGAGGTTTCTCCACAAATGGCTGTTTACATTTTTTACAACCTCAAAAGTGATCTGGGAATCAAATGGATGGATCAAATGGAAATGGAAGTTTCAGTTACCCTTTAGTGAAATCACTTTGAGTCTCTTTTGGCATCATACTGGCACATTTTCAACCAAACATATCAGGTTTTGTAGTAAACATGTTTGGTAATTAAATTGACCAAATAATAATTTTTTAACCACTGTTAAAAGCTGGAAAATTCCATTATTGAGCAACAACAAATATTTGTCAGTGAAAACGGGCCAGAAAGGGGCTTTGAGGAATGTAATTTACATTTACAGGACTGACTGAGAGCTCAACTGAACCGACCGAAAAAATTAAAGGATCCTTTCGGGAAGTCATTGAGTTCAGTGTGGTTCCCGCCCTGGGGGTTGAGACCCCCACTAGGGGTCACCAAATTTTTATGGGGGGTCGCGAGGCCCTCCTAAATAAGTAAACTGTTAAGTAAATCTCTGTCAAATAGAACGATGAGTAAGTATCAGGGACAAGAAAAACACTCATTTTTACACAAACTTCCTGCAGTTACTGAGTTCACTGTTTGGGTTCATGGTACAGTTTTGAATATAATGTGAAGTATCCATAAAATATGTCACTTAAGCAGGGGCCGTCAGTTTCCTGAATGATAGACAATGGCTCCCTTAAGGAAAAAACACTGGAACCACTGAACCAAAAGCTTCTATCGTTCACTGACAACACAACAGCAACAACTCAGTCACCGCCGCATGGAAGGCCCGATAGAGATCACTCTTTTGCATGCTTATATTGAGCTAAATCACTACGATAAAAGAGATTAATACAAGCGTATGGACCTCTAAAGAAAATGAGAAAATCTAGCCCTAATAGTGGGTTTTTCTCTGCCTTTTGTACAATAGCATACTTTTCAGAGAAGCAGTAATGGTGCTCAATGAAGGACTGTAATGTGTGTGTTTGTGTGTGTGTAGGTGTGTATGTGTGTGTGTTAACTGGAAGTCTTGGTCACAGTTTTTTATGACCATATGAAATTAAGAGCCATGGGACACTGGGACATTTTATGTCTTCCTTTGGTTATTTCTCCCTCCACTTGACCAAGACTGTGGCCCTGGCCCTGGCCCTGGCCCTGGCCCTGGCGCTGGCCCTGGAGCTGGAGCTGGCCCTGGCCGCTGCTAACACTTAGGCCGTGTTGCTGTGCATTGTACTGTGTGTGAGTGTGACGCAAACTTGATTTGATTCGATGGGCGAAAGAACAGTTCGGATCAATACATCGACTATACTATATACAACTAATTAAAAGAGAGTTCATTTTAAATGTATTTAAATGTTCTGAAACTGTCAGTCTGTCTGTTTCACAACCTTTAAAGAATTAAAGCACAGAGGCACCACTGCACACCATTTTGCTCATTTATACATTATTAGAGAGCCAATATCTTTCAAAATGTAGGATATTTTTAATGAAAAAAACATAAAATTGATACCCAAAAGGGTATCATGAACCTTAAACCTATCCTTTGCAATGACAGGTATGTTACCTTTAATTCTATTTCCTGCCTCAAGTGTTTGAAGTGCGTCATGAATACCTGCTAATTGAACTTTGGTATTAAGCTGTCTGCGTGGTCGACTAAAACCACTAGAGGTAATAATTAGCTGTCAAATATCTCATTTTAACGGGAAGTAAGATTTTTTTTTTCTTTACCTGTGAACACCATTAACGTGACGGTGTATGTGAGGAAAAGTCCAAACAAGTCCCAAACGAAAGGCATATTGTCCTCGCTCGTCAGCGTTGATTCCGCGTGAAACAAAGAAACCTCCCTCGGGCCTCTCGCGAAAGTCCTCCGAGAAAAAGAGGTGAATTTATAACACTTTATGTGACGGCGCGAAACGGGCACGTACAAGCGACAGCAAGTCTAGCATCTAAAACCAGATTGAGCGTCGTCCCTGGAGTGTACCGGGAAGAGCGGCGGCGGGGCGGAGTCGCTGTGAGAGGAGGAAAACTACAGTGACAGAACTGTAATGACTACAACCTCCTCTGTCTCCCCCAAACAGTGTGACTCCCAGCCGTGCTATAAAACAGTGTCCAAAACACAAGCTGCCCATGAGTGTCTCTCCCCTCATAAAGGCAGATTACGCATGCGTGTGAGTTTAAGTGCAGTATCCCAAACCTCAAGTCTCCATCCATTCTTCCAGGAAATCAGGCTCTAAATGAGTTTGTGAATCATTACACTGATTATGTGTATGGTAATGGATTTATGCAGCAACAAAGAGCACAGAGTGGACAAACTGATGGTGCAAGGCCAAGAAAAACATACAGAGGAAACATACTGTATATCTGATCCCCGGCTGAGTCCCAACCCTGTTACACTTAAGGATGAACGGCGAGCTTGATGCACTGTGTGAATTTAAGATTTCACTTATCTCTTACAAAAAGTACACTATGTTCTCTAAAGTATGGGGAGTATTTTTTGGACTTGTGGTCCGAGGCTGTTTTTCATAGTTCTGGGTTAATTTTAAAGGTTCAGTGTGTAACATTTAGGAGGGTGTAGTGGCAGAAATGGTCTATTAATTTACAGGCATGTTTTCATTAGTGTATAATCACCTAAAAATAAGATTTCTTGTTATTGTGTTACCTTAGAATGAGCTGTTTTTATCTACAGGAGCAGGGTGGTCCTCGGTGGTTTCCAGAACTGTTTTGACAGAGGGGGCACACATGGCACAGCACATGCACATGCTGCTGACTTATGAAGGTCTGGCATGTGTCTCAGCTTTCAAGTCATTCCCAATTCATGCAATTCCAATACTGTTTATTGATTCCAGTATGCATAAATATTCAAATACACTAAGTGACAACAACATATTTATACCACATGCAAAAAACACTGCACAGTTTTTGCCCCAAAACCTGCATGAGATTAGCATAAAGTGGGCACATCTGCAAGGGGGAGACTCATGGCTACCCATAAAACTAATTGTCATTCAGCTAGAGGTCAAAGGATCCCTTTGAAAATGTCCATGTCAGGTTTTCCATCGCCAAAATTTGCTAGGCATGGTTCGAACAATTCATGATATGATACCAGTATTTTCACTCTAGCTTTAAAATGTAGGCGGCTACAGCCTCTGAAAGACTGTGGAGTGGAAGGGGTAATGATAATGGGGTGGCACTTAGGGTGGCCACTCAGTCTGTGGTTAGTGCCACCCCAGACCCCCTCCTGGAAACACCCCTGAGCCCAGAACGGACGAACCAAACGCTGGCTCTAACCGGGATGAGGCGAGGGGTTGCAATCTGCACCGCTAAATGCCACTAAATCCTACACACTGGACCTTTAAAGGGGTATTCCAACAGTTTTGTATACAGTTAGTCATAACATTGGGGGGCTCACAAGCAGTGGTCCAAGAAGAACTCTCAGTCTCAATAGTTTTTCCAGGTTTTATTGGAAAAAGGATTTACAAAGTAAGTTTGACAAGCAGCTGCACCTCAGTATACAATGAAATAAAATGGGGAAAAAAAATCTCTCTGCTAGGACAGCTCGGGACTGAACAAGAGCCAAAATGTTCTCAAATATAAATACATACATACATACAGTACGTAAAAACATACATGGGTACAGAATTCACTTTACAGCATGACAACAAATTATTTACATTTGCTTAAATATCATTCATCTATCTGCTAATTACAGTGTAGCACTTGTGAAATACTGTGAATAACCAGAGCATTATGAAGATCTTATTACTGAGATAAGGGAGTGATTTTAGAAGGCAGAGCAGAAAGGCACTGGATCTTAACCCAGACGAGGGGAACGCTTACTCGCTGTGCAGGAGTAAATATTATCACACTGCTGTGATCAGAGCGTCATGTCCTCAAAACCTGATTCTGACTTCAAATGTCTGCAGGCCATTAAATGAGCCCATAGAGAATACTGTTTCATGATTGTTATACAGCTAGGATAGAATTTAACATCATAATCTTTTCTGTCCTTTTCTGTATTAAATGATTCATCACCTCTAATACAATCTAGAACATTATTTCCAACTATTGTAATTGAGCTACTTTTAAACAAAGCAAACTGTAAGCAGCTTTATCACACAGCTTTAATTCAACCCTGAGGTCTGTCTTTCCTTTTCTTTAACTCTGGAACAGACTGAGAAGGCTTTTACATTTGTCATTAAACAAACAGGGTAGTAACTTTGGCCCGGTGCTCCCTATAGGCTGCTGCTTTTTAAAGCGTGACTTATCTGTTTATCACAATCTGTTACCCTGGCTGGAATGCGCTGCTAGCCTATAAACATCCTTGGCTTGATTATCTCAAGTCTTTTGGTTTTGGAGCCTGTTACAACAGAACCGGTTGAGTTGGGCTATTGCTCACCTTGCAGGCCAGACCTGAACGTTAGGCCAAAAACAAAACAAAAGTGTACTGGCACAGCTGCATAGATCTGAACATGGCAGAGAGATGACGGAAAAGATTGCTTAAGTACAGTATCTCCCTCTGAAGGAACAACAGTCAGTCCAGTTTATCGCCAAGGCAGGAAAAAAAAGTGCAATGCAACCTTGCATGACTCAGCATAACACCTCAACCTGACATGCCCACATTCAGTTGGTGTTGCTGCGATACATTCTTAGAAAACACTGCTGCTGTGGTTTGAATATTATATCCGGCTGCTGTGGTGCGATCTTTCAGCCTGACCATTTACTGCCCCCCTTCATCCCAACCAGCAGAGATGCCGGAGATAGCCAAATGACATCTTTGACGGGGGGGTTGGGAAGCGTAGCAGACATGAAAGGGTTACACCTGTTATCACCCAGTTCAGGTCCTTATGGGAGAGGTGAAAGGATATACATAAGGGGAAGCGTGGTGCAGAGTCGGGGGGGGGGG